CCAGCCCAATTTAAAAAAAAATAGGGCTTGAGTTAAGATTTTGAAAAATTTAGAGGTTAGTCCCCCTATATAGACTTATTTGAAGATAAATCCGACAAAGAAATTTATTCAGTTTTAAATTTGTTTTTTGTCAAGTTTACTATTGTACCCCTACCCTGTAGAATAGTAACAAACAACGTCTGATAGTTATAGAAAGTCACATATGTTAGATCATTGAAGTATATATGAAAATCGTTGATTGTATTATATATGAAAATCATATATTAAATATTCTGATAATTAACGGAAGTTTTATATAGAATGTATATATTATGATAGTTATATATGGAAACTTAATACACGAATAAATCGTTGGTATATTAATGCTCCGTTTGGTAGGGAGGATAAAAAGTAAGAATGATGAAAAATATGAGGAATACACTTTCTATCTTTTAAGAATAGAAAGTAGGAAGAATACAATTTCCTTCCTCTGTGTTTGGTTGGATGGATAAAAATAAAAATGACTATTTTTTTTTTTTTTGTGTTGGCTAAGATTATGGGTGACAATCGAGTCGTGTAGTGTCAGATTCGTGTTGAGTCATTACAGGTTTGTGTCGAACATTAGTCAAACCTAACTTAACTCATTTAACTAATTGTGTCGTGTCGAATTTGGAGTTGATCTGTTTATTTTCGTATCGAATTCGAGTCGTGTCATCTTATTGAGTCGAGTTAAAAATTTTCACCCTTAGTTAAGATGAAAAAAATATTTTTTTATTTTAATTTTAAATTTTAAATTTTTATTTATTTTTTAAATATATATATATATATATTTTACCATTGTATTTTTATATGAAATTAATATATACATAATGTATGTGTATATAAAAAGATATATAGACAAATAAGATACATCTCAACAAAAATAATTAATTTTTCATCCACTTTCTTTTTGATTTTGAAGGGATTAATTTTGGTGAGTTGAAAGGAAAGTTAATTTATCCACTTTTTCATCCTTCCTATTTTCCTACCTTACCAAATATGATGCACATAATTCTTGATAATTGTTTTATATTCATTATGCTTGATAATTTTGTATTATGTTACTATATGCTAGTTAGGATNTTTTTTTTTTTTTTGTTGACTAAGATTATAGGTGACAATCGAGTCGTGTAGTGTCAGATTCGTGTTGAGTCATTACAGGTTTGTGTCGAACATTAGTCAAACCTAACTTAACTTATTTAACTAATTGTGTCGTGTCGAATTTGGAGTTGATCTGTTTATTTTCATATCGAATTCGAGTCGTGTCATCTTATTGAGTCGAGTCAAAAATTTTCACCCTTAGTTAAGATGAAAAAAATATTTTTTTTAATTTTAATTTTAAATTTTAAATATTCATTTATTTTTTAAATATATATATATTTTACCATTGTATTTTTATATGAAATTAATATATACATAATGTATGTGTATATAAAAAGATATATAGACAAATAAGATACATCTCAACAAAAATAATTAATTTTTCATCCACTTTCTTTTTGATTTTGAAGGGATTAATTTTGGTGAGTTGAAAGGAAAGTTAATTTATCCACTTTTTCATCCTTCCTATTTTCCTACCTTACCAAATATGATGCACATAATTCTTGATAATTGTTTTATATTCATTATGCTTGATAATTTTGTATTATGTTACTATATACTAGTTAGGATATTGATAATATAACGTCATGCTACAGTGTCACCCTATACTTGTATCATGTTACTTTATGTTTGTATCATGTTACTATTGAATTTGAATTGTTAAGGAAATTTTGTGATTTAAATTGCACTTAATATACCAATGATTTATTCGTACATCAAGTTTTCATAAATAACTATTTGAATATATACATTCCATATAAAACTTCAATTAATTATCAGAATATTTAATAAAAAGTTTTCATATATAACTCAATCAACGATTTCCATATATACTTCAATAATCTAACTTATGTGTTTTTTATAACTGGACAAAACTAACACCGTTAGTAATAATTTTGCAATTTAAAAAAAAAAGTTAACTTAAATACCTACATATAAGTTTAATCACGGACTTAACTCCAAATAAGTTTCATTCTTGGACTCAAGTCATTACAAGTCTATCTACAGGGATTCACTTCTAATTTTTATTAAAATTTTTAATACTTTGATTAGACTTGGACAAAAAAACTCAATCTAAATTAAGTTTAGGCAAGTCTCGAATTGTCGGGTTCAACTTGAATATTAAATTAGGTTAAACCCGAATATACATAAATATATAAATATATTTAATTAGAGTTAATATTTATCTTCACTTTTCAGAATCCAAACTTTCACTTCACTTCACCTCNTCTATCTACGGGGACTCACTTCTAATTTTTATTAAAATTTTTAATACTTTGATTAGACTTGGACAAAAAAACTCAATCTAAATTAAGTTTAGGCAAGTCTCGAATTGTCGGGTTCAACTGGAATATTAAATTGGGTTAAACTCGAATATACATAAATATATAAATATATTTAATTAGAGTTAGTATTTATCTTCACTCTTCAGAGTCCAAACTTTCACTTCACTTCACCTTTGCACCTCCATCATTCCCACATCTCTCTTTCACTCATCACTCCTCCCTCTCTCACTTCCTCTTTTTTTATTTGCTCTTCGTCCTTTATCTTAGTTCATTTAAAAAAATCAGATCTACACTTGAAAAAATAAAATTTACACTTTAAAAAATTAATCCGAATTAAGTAATCGAAGATCAACGCAACTTTTAATTCAAAATTAGTCCGAATTCAACTCAAGCTTGTTCGAATTAAACTCGGACAGTACTCAAATTAAGTATGTCAGGTTAAGTTAAGGTTAATATTAAAGATTATATACTTAAATTGAGTTATAAATTGATATCCCAACACGCACAATTCACTAAAGTTGCACCCCTAATTTTTTGGAAGTGATACGTAAACTTGGATAAGTTTGTTTTTTGGATTTTCTCGTGAAACCATGTTGAGTGATTTGATTGATGTTAGATGAATAATTATATTTATATANCCGAATTAAGTAATCGAAGATCAACGCAACTTTTAATTCAAAATTAGTCCGAATTCAGCTCAAGCTTGTTCGAATTAAACTCGGACAATACTCGAATTAAGTATGTCAGGTTAAGTTAAGGTTAATATTAAAGATTATATACTTAAATTGAGTTATAATTGATATCCCAACATGCACAATTCACTAAAGTTGCACCCCTAATTTTTTGGAGGTGATACGTAAACTTGGATTTGGATTTTCTCGTGAAACCATGTTGAGTGATTTGATTGATGTTAGATGAATAATTATATTTATATAATGAATTTGTATTTGTTAATTAAAAGAAGTGATCGTTTACTACACACTACTTGTATAACAATAAGTTTTTAGATGCTATGACATGACATATAAATTTCATATGTAATAAATCAGGTTGGATTGATGAGATTATGTTACAAATACAAAAATATAATAACATTTAGTAATACAAATGATAAAGAAGATGAGATTACATCAAACACAAATAAAATTAATACAAAAACAAATGAATNCTTGTATAACAATAAGTTTTTAGATGCTATGACATGACATATAAATTTCATATGTAATAAATCAGGTTGGATTGATGAGATTATGTTACAAATACAAAAATATAATAACATTTAGTAATACAAATGATAAACAAGATGAGATTACATCAAACACAAATAAAATTAATACAAAAAAAATGAATAAAAAAAAAAAGAAAACATAATAGGATAAAAATTAATTAACATCATTAATTTAAATAGTTGAAATTAAAAAAAAAATATTCAAAAATAGGTTGTTGATGGGTTGGGCTGAGTGAGCGAGACTCAAGTAAAGCCCAGAGAAAGCCCAAAGCTCCCTCTTCTTCTCCTCCGTAACTCTGCAATACCAAAACGAACTTCACGGTGAAATCCATTGTCCTGGCTCCGAAACGCTACACAAAGAAGCCATGGGAGATCACCGGTCCATGCGCCGACCCGGAGTACAAATTGGCCGTCCCCAAAGCAACCGAGTACAGAGTTTTCTGCCCCGCCCCCCTCCTCCGCCATGGTACCCACCTCCGATCCCAACACCTTCTACGACATATCAGGAAAGAGAAAACTTTCGACGCTGGCGATTTTCCGTCGGTTTGCTTGACTGCACAAGTGGAGGAGGACTATAATGCCGTTGGCGGAGGGTACCAAAAATGAGGTCAGCTTAGCAATTTTACATCGATTTGTTTCGTGAGGTACTTTAGAATTAGGGTTTTGATAGGATTATAATGCATTGGAATTGAATTCTGAATTGGTAGATAATGGTTTACTTTTTATTTTTAAAGAATCGCCTGCATGATCATCGAAATGCCTAAATTCCCATCTTTTGTTTACACTGAAACTTATCGACAATAATTTTGGCATGTTATTCATGTTATTTCCTTGATATTAGAAAATTGAAGATTACTTTTAATGAGTAACTTATTGTTACTTCCATAAATAAGCTGGAGTTCTTGACTTTATGGATATGCAAAACTATCTTCCTTTTTGAAGGATCCCTTAACCCTTCTTTTATTAATTCGGGTATTGAAAAGTTAAACAGTTCCTAGAACACATTTACAGATAGTTTACGACTCGAATGGATTAATTTGATAATGTATATGTATGCACATTTGTAGTTAATTCTTCATTAGCTATTTGTTTATTATGCAGTTTGCCTCCTCCAACGAGTATTTGAAGAAGGAAATCAACTCGCTTTGAGGAGATAAAAGTGTCATTTGAATACCATATGCCAGCCATTCTTTACTATATTCAGCTTTATCATGACTAAATCTTCTCTAATTTGTTAGTAGGCAGAAGGGTACTGGACGTAATTGCATACATTGCTTAGTATTTGATTGGCCACTAAACTCTTCCCTCAAGACACTGTTGTGTTGCCCATGGGGAAGTGGTAGCCCCGACTTCCATAGGTCCTTGGTTCGACCTCCTAATGAGAATGGAGGTCCTTGCGTGGGCGTCTCCTCCCTAAGACTTGTTTGCTCTGNGGTAGCCCCGACTTCCATAGGTCCTTGGTTCGACCTCCTAATGAGAATGGAGGTCCTTGCGTGGGCGTCTCCTCCCTAAGACTTGTTTGCTCTGTATGGAGTGCCCCGTGGTTCCTCGAGTGCCAGCCGTAGAGAGGAATGTCATCAACTAGGGCGCTCGCTCTCCGGCTGCTCGGGTTCCGTGTTTCAAGTTCGTTATCCTAACCGTCTCCTCTGCTCCACTGGGAGCCTGACTCCTTCTATCTTATCTACTGCCCTGCTCCTCGGCTCCATACTGCTCCAGCTGTTTTCATCTATGTTCATCTACATGTTTAAATGCATTTAAATGCACCAACTGGGTTATTGAAATTGAAGTGTCTCATCAATGTTCTGTTTGGGAAATAATTCTGCCCTTCTGTTGTAAATCAGTTTTGAGTCACTGACACCTTACTTAGATTTTGAGATGTTAATCAGAAACAAACATATGTTGTTGATGACTGTAGCATGTTTGCGAAAATGACTTATTGACATTCGAGGCCATTAGCAAGTAGTCTAGTTTTGTGGAACTGACTTCCATATATATACCCTTCTGGGGTATTCTGGAGCAGATAAAATATCCCAGCATGACCATTTTTCAGCCTTCTGAGCTTTGAAGCAAGTTGTTGCATCAAGTCTGGCTTGGCATGCTATCATTTTATTTCTTCTGGGTGAATATTATTTGACATGTGTGGCAGCTTAGCAGAAGTTCTTGATGAAGGATCACCAAATATGATTCTTTATTTATTTATTTATTTATTTTTGTGGATAATGGGGGATTGAAAATTTGTAGATTTTGAGAATGATAATATTGTGACCTCATAAGGACAGAGATCGTGACCCTCATATCTTGGGACGAGAATATTGCATTCAGACTGTCCTTACTTCACGTGTGATTGCGATGAACCTGCAGACTCGGGGTGCAAGACAACTTTGTTGAATTTCCGCTAAAATTTGTTTACATTGTGAAACTACTACTGCCATTCTACCACCCAAACATGCCTCACAGAACCTTTGTCCCATCTTCCTTGGTTTCCCCGGAAACATCATAGTTTGCCTTTTTTTTTACTACACAAAATGAATAACTAAAACATAAGTGTGCCTTGCTTTCGCTAATATTTAAATATAAGCTTGCATAGCACTGAGCTTTTGTTGTTATCTATTTACACTGTTTAACATTCATTTTAGGACATTGTCTCCATGCCAGCTGCATCTTTGATAGATAAGATAATCATCCTGTCACATGATGTTGTTGGCTTTGATACCTAGGTTTACTATCTGCTGAGTTAGCTAATGGACGGAAGCCCTAGATTTGACAACCCTAGTTTTTTTTGTTTAGATTGTATGGTATGTGGTGATTTAAATGCAAAACCCGTTGTTTGGGAACACAATGATACATATAAGATGGGTCCCTTGTCTTTTCGAATGTTNGCAAAACCCGTTGTTTGGGAACACAATGATACATATAAGATGGGTCCCTTGTCTTTTCGAATGTTTTTGTCCAAGAGATGATTGAAATTGCATGTCTTATAAGTTTCCAAAACTAGATCCATTAGACATAATGGATAAGTTGGGCTCTTAGGCTTTCTGAACGTGTTTCTTTCCAACGTGACCGAGGTAGAAGCTGCCCTTGGACTTAGGCTATGGACATCATCTTCCTTATCACAAGGGGGCACTGGTTTTGACCCCTTGTGACCCTCACAATCCTATAGTTTATTTTGTTCGACTTCTGGTTGGTGCTCCCCAGTTTTGAATTCTTGGCTTCACCACTGATGAAAATAGCACTCGATATGGTCAATAGCCAAAAGCAAACATGTCCGTTACACAAACCTACTCAAACTTGTTCTATCTGCAAAAGATTGATTGAATGGAAATGGTCGAACTTGATAATGCATCAATTTGGAGACATGGTGCTCGATGGACCATCAAATGCTGGCTGTATTTTGATTTTATTTGTATTTTGAAACGTGACAGAGAGAATTCTGCAGCTTATGAGTATCACTTTTTTTTTTTTTTGGGGGGGGGGGGGGGG